AGAGGTATTTGAACTAAATTTGGTATACGTTATATTGGGTTAAGTTTCCTTAAAATACTGTAATATCAAGATTTTTGCGCAACCAGCAACTGATACAGGAAACTCATTCGGCTATTTCTTAAAAAAAAAATAGTACGGTCCTGTGCAAAATAATAATTGATAATATTTTCTGAAAAAGCATGCCAATGGGAACCAAAAACACCTCTTACATTTTGACGATATCTGTCTCTGTCTTACTGGACCAGGCGGGATCCGTTTCAAAATACCNAATAAAAGTTTGTAGTTACTTACGTAAAAAACTAAAGGTTATTTTTAATAATAATTTAATTACATTCAGGTGGCTACATTAAATTTTTATAATTAAAAAAATATTCCCTCATTTTTAATTTTTTTCGTTATTTAACATTTCTTGATGAAAAAGATTAGATTTTTACGAAAAAAAAACATTTTCAATTTAAAACAATCAGTAAAACACAACATTTATCATGTAATCAATTAGCAGAAGTGACCACTTCAGTAGTTCAGTAGTTTTAATAAATTATGTATTTTATTTTATTGCATCCAATAGAAAAACAAGAAATAAATCGAAAACGGTTAAATTTATCGACATAAAACAAGTATCCCTTATTTGTGAAAAATAGATAGGAGAACAATATTTTTCTTTTTAAACTTTCGTACACACACTGATAAAAAAGTTATAACCAGTTTTTATCAACCAAGAGTACATTTCGTAGCGCCCTCTAGCGTCTACAGCAAAATTAAGTACGGATTCGTTTTTCTCGTCCCAGAAAACCCTCTAATCCAAATTTTCAAAAGAATCCTTTGAAAACTTTCTAAGAATTTTAAGAATTTCGAATTGAAAATTTCAACTTTAACGCCCTGTAACTTTTTATTAGCCACAAATGGACCAAGGTAAGTTTGCCTTAATCGCATTATTTTGATGTAAGGAATCTACTCTTGCTCTGTGTCCCATTAATTTCGGGACACCCTGTATAGTATCGCTAATTTTTGCTTTAATGGCTCCAAAATGTAATAACAAAATATAATTTCACTATGCGCGCGCTTTAAAACGTATGCTAAACTTATTATTAAACAAATAGTGAAAAAATTGGAAAAATTTCAATTTTTTTTCTTCTTTTTTCAACACAGTTCAAAAATTATTCATTTTAGAGAAAAATTGAGGAGGAAAAAAAGATTCATAATTAAATTTTACACATGATATAAGTACCTATTTTCAAATTAAAAAATACAACATAATTATTGCAAATATAGCAAAAACAACAAAAAAAAAAGTTAAAAAAATACAATTTGCCATTTTTTAAAAATACATACATACTTATATTATAGGTAGGATCTTCATACTTGGCCAAAAAAATCTTTTTGATATAATAAAACATCACACCAGTATTCGTTAAAATGGATCCGATGGTTTTCGAGTAATAATTTTGCAATCCAGATTTTTGAAAAAAAATTGAAATTTTTGCAAATTTAACTGAGCCTAAATTAACACTTCTAGATACTTGAAAATTTTATCATTTAAAAAAGGGCACTAAAACTTTAAAATGCATCTAGAAAAATTGAAATCGGTTAATTAGGAGAGCCGTGGTAATTGTTTAAATATATGCGTAATTATTACTCGAAAACCATCGGACCGATTTTAACGAAAACTGGTGTGATGTTTTATTATATCAAAAATATTTTTTTGGCCAAGTATGAAGATCCTACTCACAATATAAGTACTTTTAAAAATATTGTAATTTTTTTCACATTTTTTGTTGTTTTTGCTATATTTGGAATAATTATGTTGTATTTATTTTTTTATTTGAAAATAGATATGTATATCATGATTAAAATTTAATTACGAATCTTTTTTTCCTCTTCAATTTTTCTCTAAAGTGAATAGTTTTTGAACTGTGTTGAAAAAAATAGAAAAAAAAAATGGAATTTCTTCCAATTTTTTCACTATTTGTTTAATAATAAGTTTAGCACACGTTTTGAAGCGCGCATAGTGAAATTATGTTTTGTTATATCATTTTGGAGTATTTTGGAAATCTTTTATTTTCAAGTCTTTCGAACTCTCTAAGCATTTTTGTAAGTATCCATATTTAAATATCTTCAAGATCTACCGGGTCAAATAATAACACACGCAATTTTGTAACTTGAAGAGGAAAATCGCTTGACCTATCGGCGACTGATAACAGTCGAACAGAAAATTTATTATTAAAACAAATATTGTATTTCCTCCGTTGCCATTGTCTCCTAGGTTACGTACTTGAACTAACGCTATTGTTGTACGAGCCATTATTTTTATTATAGATAAATGCATGATGCATGTCCTTACTGATACTTAACATTTAACCGCATCGTAGAATTTCGTTCAATTTATGAATAATTTAAAAAATATATCACTTTTTCTCAGATACGTTTGTCATAAACAATACGTTTTCATAAAAATGTGAGGTAGTGGATTAAAAATTGACACAACTGGCTAAAATCCTTGTGTTCTAAAGATATTTACATATGCAACTGCAAAGAATTGCAAAAAAACAGCAGAACCTAAATCAAATATGTAGATAGTCAGTAGGCAGGCCACCATAAACAATTTTATATCTAGATGGTTTTGAAAAACAAAGAAATTATCAAATTTCAAGGCAATCGCGTTATTTAAATTTTATGAAGCTCGGACCGCTGCTACAGCACAAAAATAGTAAGCGACTCGCCAGTGAAAAAAATTATTTTTCAGCAAACAGTGAAGGGACGTATGACATAGACATGCTATTCAAAAAAACACACAATTATAACAAGAATTTGAATAATGTTAACGGATAAGTTAAACAATACTCCTGAAAATTATGGTGCAGATAAAAATCGAAGACGCCTACATCGCCCAATGCCAAAATAATTATATCACAACTAACTATAAATTCTCAATTATAAAAGTCTGAAAACCTTGAAATAAAATTGTAGAGAAGTATTTTTATATTCCTGCGAAGGATTGTTTCACTTTTTAATAGCGTTCTGTGCTTCGTGCTGTGGCATCATTGGTGCAATTTAAACACAAAGAGATTTTTTACTGCAGTATTAGTAAACATTAAATTATTCAAATTTGTATTAATATGTATTAGACGTACCTTGGTATATTAGGAAACTGTAGGAAGATTGGATCATAACTCAAATAAAAATATAAAATGTTTTTAATTGACAGCCACCAATGCTATTTTATTATCTAATAAAAAAAGTAATTAACAATAACAAAGTTGGCCAAATCGAGCGTCGTGCATTTCCATAGCCGCCTATGCGGATTCAACCGATTATGATAATACCAATAATATTTCCAGGTAATGTTTCAGTTATTTATTACCTGTTTAATTCTATCATTATCATTGACGCCTGTCACATTCAAAAGTAATTATACCACACAAAAATTATCACTCTGCGAGAGGTGCAAACATCGCATGATAAATGAGTGTATTTACTGGGATAAAGGCGACAAAATCGAGTGGCGAATTTGATACCCCGCAATTTAAACACCCACTTTGAATTCGACTACGTCGATGTAGCAGTCTCGGTAAAATTTGACATTGTCAATGTTAAAGCGACCATTTCTCATTAATTTTTGCTTGTTTTGACGCCAACGGCAAAGACATGAGTAAGATCAACACCACAAAAATGAGAAACGAACGAAAATGATTGCAGGTATTACGGAAATGAGGAAATTAAAGCAGAATGCAAATTATCCATGCGTTCGCAATAATATTTACATTTTTTTAAATGTATGAGGGAAAGGTCGTGGTTTAAAGCGTACGAGAAAAAGCGACGAGCAATTTGAATAATTCAAATCAAATTGGATTCCTGTCACGTCTCATTTAAATTGCATTAGCTAAGAATTAGGAAATCTACATATTTATAAAAGCTACAAGTTACTTCGGACTACCTACTTATCATTTCTTATAAGGAAACTAGTGCTAAATCGCGGAGAAATCGCATACATTTTAAGGCTTAGATGCTGAAATTATCTGGTAAAGGCGCCCTAAAAATCGCTATCGCAAATTTCACTTTTAATATGGGCCCTAAAGAATTGAGACTTCCAAAAACGTCCTTGCTGAAAAGCATGTCTGCTAAATTGTATGTCAATATAATATGAATTAAGGTAGCCCTTGGCCTGACCCGGATCGCTTGAATTACTTAACGATAAATAAAGCGTATGTTTATAAAATTGTTAATTTGGCATTAATAATCGCCAAGAGAGATCACGCAAACGCCCTCAAATCAAAATATTAATGTGCAAGTATATATATGCCCATATAGCTTCACGGGGAGCAAACCAACTGAGGAGTCCCGAAGATCTGCTAGTTTCTAAACTGGCCAAACTGTCAACCACAATTTAAAAATAACTGGGCAATTAATAGAAGGCAAGGAATATGAACGGGAAATAAAGAGCTATACTATGTAAATCTAATCCAGACTTAACCTTCAAAATAGCAATGTACTCACCAAATATTGCATAAGTCAGCCAGTCCCTGTCATATCAAAGACCACTGTTTAGCACTGCTCGAAAGTTTTTCACTAAATACAACACTAAATTATCAATTAAAAACTATTCAATAACCAATTTTAGCAACTTTTCACTACGGATAATAACATTAACCCGAACTAGAGAACAAAATCTGGGGCCCACACATTCAATGATGTACTCTGTTGTTCACGAAATTCATTTTTATGACACGAGATGGCAGCACTTGCCGAAGAAACAATTTTAAAAAATTCGTGTTCGCACAAATAGCTTCCCTTTTGTACAAACAAGTTAATTCATTTTTTCAAAACTACACTATTTGCAGTGTGAAATAATTATGAGTAGAATTTAGAAATAAACTAAAGTAGACAAATAGATCAGACCCAATTCGCTTACTGGAACAAGAAATAAATAAACTGAACCAGTCATATATTTGTTACGAACGAATGCGCTTATAGAAATGTCATACACTTTTTGACAGTCTAAGGTTATGTGATATATAACTTCAAAATAATATAATAAATTCCTTTATTTTCATTAAAATCCTACTTTTGAATAGTGTTTAAAGAAAATGGGTGGCAAGCATAAAGTCGCGAATAGGACAAAGAATAATGCACGAGTACGTATTCGTCATATTTAATATCTGTAAACAATATGGTTATTTTTAATTTTCTTTCAGCCTTCTAGTAGTGGAAGAAGTGCTGAGCTTCTGGGTTCTTCCATCCCACAATTTGTAGGATTTTCCGGTATTAAAGATGCTGGATTTGGGCTTGCAGGGTTTTCCCTTTCTACGACTGAAGAATTTGACTCGTCTATCGATCCCAACATTCAACTGGTTTTGAAAAAAATATCAAAGAAAGATTCTACAACAAAGTTGAAAGTAAATATATCTAATTATGTTAATGTTGACTGTATCAAATGTATATTTTAGGGTTTGCAAGAATTCGCTGACTTGGTAAAAAATTCCGAAGCCGATTCTATAAAAGCTCTGTTACCAGTGTGGCCTAGATTTTACAATGTTTTATCCACTGATATCGATAACCGTGTCCGCGAAGCAACTCATAATGTTCACCATGAAATTGTATTAAAAGCTAAAAGAAATATTGCTCCATATTTGAAGCAGTTAATGGCGCCTTGGTTCACTTCACAATATGATACATATCCACCAGCTGCCAGTGCTGCTGCACAAGCATTCAAGGTAATACCTAAGTTAATGTAGATTTTAAATAAATTTTAGTTTTTGTTCGTAGGATGCTTTTCCAGTAAATAAATTTCAAGAAGCCGTGGTATATTGTCAAGAAGAGATACTGTCGTACATAAATGACAATTTGTTAGTTCAAACCGCACAGACTCTGAGTAACACCAAAAATACGTCGGCAGAAGACGCAGAAGCTAAATATGAAAGGGTATTAATTTCTTGCTTGCAAGGATATTGTCTGTATTTGGAAAAAGTATCTTCAGATCAAATTCAAAACGTGGTGACTTTGAATAATGATATTGTTTCTAATGGGAAATTTTGGAAGTTGGCTAAACATAAAGTTTCTCCCGTCAGAGCGGCCTGGTTCAAGGCCTTGACCGTTCTCTGCCAGAAAGCCGCCTTTTTACTTGAAGGGAAAGGGGCCCAACTTGTCAGCACTGTGTTCAATAATTTGGAGGAAAATGAGCCTACAGTCTTGCCTTACGTTTGGGAGGCAGCTTTGCTGACCATGGCGAATATAAAGGTAAGAAATTTCAATTAAAGTATACAGGGTGTCTGGTAAATAAGTGCAACGAAAATATGTCTTAATTTTTTCTTTTCCAACCAACTGTTACAAAGTTATAGCAATAAATAAATTTGGATTATGTAAAATAGAAAAACATACAGAATAGCCCAAAGTCAACGCGCATTAGTATTAATTTTTCTATCAGTCTCTGTATTTGTGGCACTTTTTTCAAAATTTTTAGGAATGGTGGACATTTATCAATATCGAGAAACAATTCTTCCCTAAACTGTGGAAGATCCTTAAACAAGGTGGTCAAGGAAATGCTTCTGTCATCTATCCAAACCTGCTTCCGTTAATATCGCACCTTCCGGCTACAGTGGACGAGAACGCACAGCAGTTTTATAATACCTTTTTTGAAAATTTGCGTTTGGGGTAAGTCTCGAGTATTATTAAATGTACAAAATACAGCTTTCTTTTGCTTTATTTATAGACTGAAACAGAAGACTGTGATAGCGAGTAGATCGGAGTCGGTGGCTGTAGCGACAGCCTTCACCGAATGTCTCCAATATGTCGTATTGAAGAAGCAGTTGGAAGTGCCGTTATGTAAAACCCTTATCAAAAACCATCTTTTAAGTACAATCGAATGGTGCCTTATCGAAGACCAAGCCAGTTACAAGTCCGTTTTTAACCAAGTTGCCGCGTTAGTACAATACTGGAGTAGGAACGCTCGGACTGAAGGGTTTGACGATTATTTACACTTTTTCTTTGAGAGCGTATCTGACTTGCTCCGAGACACCTTATTTAACTCGAGAGAGAACAAGAACTGTGATGTTTCCAGCGTATGCCTGAAGGAGATAGAATTTTTACAGTCCCTAAAGCATATTAACAAACCCAAGAAACAGTTCAAAGTTAAATTTAATCAAGATGAAACAGAGATAGGTGAAAGTGTACAGAGTTCCAATATTTCCACCGTAGAGACTAATCAAATATATTTCGAAAAATTAAACTTGTTAGTTTACAAGGTGTGCGAAGATTATGTGGAATATATAGAGGAAACCCAGTCCAAAGTGATACTAGAATACCTCTGCTCTCTTATAGTTGACTTTGACACGAAAAACTTTTTCGTCAATCTGAACGAAAAAATGAAAAAGAAAAATTCCGGCTCTCAACTGATCGATATTTTCAACGACAAACTTTATAAATGGCTAAACTCCGGTGAGTTGTGTTGCAAGCAAGTCGTCGATTTGATATTCTTGCTTTTTTCCTACGTCACTGATGATGACAAACAACTGATATTGCGGAAGTTGTCGGAGGTAAGTATAAAGTAGTTCAAACGTACCACTCGAAAATTTGCCATCGTTTCTGTGCTACAGATTTCAACTGAAGACTGTCTTGGTTGGTGCGTATCTGAAGGACTGTCGCATCCCCATAATAAGGATCCGTTGGTTAAAGACTGGCTTCGCAACACAAAAGTCAGCGAATTTATAGTTTCCATCGCGGAGAAGGAAATAAAGGACGAATCCTCTTCCGAATGTAGCGTTCTCTTTAGACTCGCGCTGACGGAAAATGAGGATGGAGGTAAAGTTAATTTTTTCGCTAGTCTTTTGAAAAATATACCTCCCCTCTCACACACAAATCTGAGGGGTAGGTACTTATATTATTACTTGTTGAAACATTTTTCATTCTTTTAGAGTTACTCATCCACAGTGAAGCTGTATCACAAATTATAAGCAAACTAATCGCCACTCTAGAACACTACAATGATTATACCGTAACCTTAGACACCTGCTCGAGCCTTGCCGCTTACATTTCTGCCATTATATACACCGAAAACTTACTCCTGACCTATGGCAGCAAACTACTATTGTCCCTGTTCAAGTTATCATGTAACTCCAACTTAGATCACGAAGTTATTTCTGCTGAAACGATTTATGAGGTTAACACTGCGTGGCAAGACGCCGTCACGCTCTTAACGAAGAGCTTAAGCCTAGACGCGAGCAAGGACCTGACGGGAAAGTTTGCCGATATTTTGGAAAACGAATTTTTGTGTAACGATATGGGGGAGAGTCATGTTGACCACTTAGCGAGCGTCGCTGTTAGTTTTATAAAAGCAGTGCACAGGAGTAGGCCGCTGGGGGTAAGCGATTTCTTGTGTTTGTTTTTGGAGCGGTCTTTTGTACCGGCTTGGAGGACTGATTTGAATAGCCTTTGCAAAGTAGCCGAGTACGTTAAAGGGAATTTAAGCAGCCCGTTTGACGAGATTCGTAAACCGTCCGAGGATGTTCAGGAGTGGGATATTCTAAGGTATTTCGTTTGGACTTACTTAAAACTTAGGATAGTGGGAATGGAATTGGATGGCGATGAAGAGGAAGAAGAAGAAGAAGAGGAAGACGAGGGAATAAAGCCGGATAAGAAATCTGTTTATATTCTAAATGTTATAGATGAGAGTGAAACGTTTATTTCCGAAATTTTGTACGACTTAAGTTATAGCCAGTCGTATCTGCAGAACTTTAAAAATGTGAGTACAAATCTTAATTTTAAATATTTTATTAAAAGAGAATTTGTTTGCAGACTAAATATTACGAATCTATCTTAAATTATTACGTTCTAACAGAAATGAAACTAAAAACCGTTCTGGAAAATGTCGATCATACATTTAAATTGAAATTAAAAAGTATTTTGAAAGGAAAATCCATAGGCGAGGCTTGGTTTTGGTGTAAAACGGCCTACATCTTATACTCGGATATAACTCCCGAACCTCCGTCAGACATTTACAAGGAATTTGTCGGTGACGTTTCTACCGCAAACAGTTTAGGTGTGCTACACTTAACGCAGGTGTTTGGCAGGCACCTCGACTTCGATTACGTTCAGAATAAATTTGAGGCCGTCGGTAATGTTGTGATTCTCAGAAGTTTGATACTTTGCGATGAAATCGACGTACAGATCGCGGAAGTGTTTGGACAAATCGAAAAAATAAGAAGCGAAAACGTTCCACAATTTTTGTACAACACGTAAGAATGAAATATTTGTATTGAAAAATTTTCACGTCGCTGTTTTTTAGCAGTAACATCGGTTGGGTAAAAGCGCAGGAAATCGTCGAAGTTGTCAGGTTATGTTCCGGGCTGATGAAACACAAATTCAGTTCGTTGAGTCGCAGGCATTGGGACTTTGGGGTGCTTTCGTTGGTATCATGGGCTTCGAACTGTTTAAAATCCAGAGCTTCCTTCGAAAAATACGAGGTAAGTTTAAGTAAGTGCACTTTCCGGGCGTATTTTAACAAATATCGTGTTGTAGTTTCAAGCGCTTTTAATCGCCGTAGCAAATCACTACATCAGCACCGACAACCAGATAAAATTGATGAAAGAACAAGAATTAAAAAGTAGTTACATTGACGAGTGGCGCGACGTCCTCGTCGAAAGTATTCATAGTGACCTCGCACAGCTTTGGTTATACCTAGCAGGTAATTTTAGATAAAATAATTGAAATTAGTAACTAAAACGATTGCTTTTAGAACAAATGGAAGTTAAACAGTTCAACGTCACGTACTTACCGCTGATACAAGAGTTCGGTGCTGTAATAAACAATATAAACTACGACTTTATCTTCAAGTTCAACGACACCTCTCTGCCGAAATGGACCAAGTTCTTGAAACGGGGTTGTTCGTTACTGGTCTGTCCTCAGCCTAACTTACAACTCTGGGGGTACAAAATGTTGCACGTTCTTGTGCCGGGACTTGTGAAGATCGACACGGAAGCCGTTAATACAAACACGCCTCACAGGAAGGGGCTTATATTCGAGCAGTTCAAGGAAAAGCTTGTAGAGACTCACGGTATCGTGAACAGCATGCTCATGGGATTTAAGTGAGTACCCTTTGGTTTTCAATATAATTTTTACTAAAACCACTGCAAATAAATAAGTCAATACGCAATTTTTACTGTTTTGCAATAATTTGTGTTTATCACATGGAAATTTTAATGTTTCATTTGTTTTGCATAGTGTTCCAATATTTTTAACCTGTTTACCAAAAAAGAGATGATCAACGGTACATGGATTCATTACTTGATTTGTCAGTTTCCAACTTAGGTGTTTCCTTTCATGTCATATGCGTGCAAATGAGAAAAACATATGAATGATTTTAGTTAATTCCGATAAGCATAACCTCATAATCATAAGACGGATATAGCAGACCACACATCAATTTTCAGTCTGCCGGTACTCTCCACAATTCACCAGCTGTGTGTAATAGAGACCTATCTAAAACTTTTACAGTTTGGAAATCGTGAAATGAGAAGGTGTACAGCTTCTAAATGAACAAATATTACTTACAGTAGTTTCTATGGATTCTCTAAAAACAGATAAATACTTAATCTATATATTTATGTTTAAAAAAATAATATATAAGATATAATAAAAATGTATTACCGATGTGTACATATTTGCAATACATTTTAAAAATAAAATGTTTCCTAATGACTCGGACAATAAATAGATAATTTCTTAAGTTTATAATTCTTATTACGGCCCTGATCAGTACTTCCCTTCTCAAGGTCACCAAAAGAGCTGAAAAAGATCAAAGTGCTGACAAACTGTACTGACACTGCTAGTATACATTATGCTGTGTTTATAATATAAATAGAGGTGACATGAACTTTATGGAGAGCTTTTTTAATTGTCAGTGTTGCGAGAAACAACTACTCCGAGAGGTATATGCCCCTAGCGGCATTGAATTATACTCGCAATTATACTTTATGGAGAGCTGCCATCTAGTACTTTTGTTCCCAAGTTAAACTATAAATATACAGGCTGTCTCCTAAATAACGCCGCAAGCGTTATTTTTAGTCTGATTTTAAAAAACAAAAAATTATATGAAATGGCTCTAAATACACCATAGAGTGAACCTATTGGGGCATATTTATTATTTCTTTTTTCAAATGGCAATGTATGTTTTTTTTTATTTATTGAATTCTATTCTGAGTTCAACGATGTATAATAAAATATACTTTTGTGAAACATGTAACATGTATTACAGAAATAGCATGAAAATATTAGTCAGTACTGCATTATTAGCGCCCGGTCGCTTAATTGACAACAAACATGTTTCGACTAATCATGTATGCCTGGAAAACAAAAAATAATACAACAAAGCAAGTAAATGTCATTTTAGCGTTTGTGTCCCAGTTTTTTTGCGCGTTATACCCTTTCTGTGCCATTTACAGTGGGTTATTTATTGAAATAAGATCAACAGTGCAAAATATGAGTAATAATCAATTGACAGACATGATTCAGGCACTGCAAATAAATTTATTTGCTATTTATTTGATTCAGGTATATATACACTTCAGTGTAATAAAAGTCGTGGTGCAGGAGTCCGCCTTTACAGAGTACTATTTCCTCACAGAGAAGTTCTAGAACCACGTAGATTTGTAAGACTTGAAGAAAATTTGATAAACTATGGTGCTTTTAAGAAAAAAAAAGCATAAATTCAAGCCATACATTCCTCAAAAAGTACAGGCAATAGAGGACGGCTACAATTTGTTTCTTTAGTTGTTTTGTGTTACGTTGTTCTTCGTTTAATGTGTTTTGTGTTTAATTAATGTTATTTCCTTTTGAACTTTGTATAATGGTTAATGTATTTAATTAAATTATTTTTCTTTCAATTGATATTCATTGTATTGTTTCTTTTCTGTTAACTACAAAATTCTCTTTTGAGTTTTATTTGCTTTGCTGTATTATTTTTTGTTTTCCATGGCACAGATGATTAGTTAAAATACATTTGTCATGAATCAATGGCCAGGTGCCGAATGCGGTATCGACTAATATTTTGTCGTCTTTTCGGTAGTAAATGCTTTAAAAAAGTAAAGTTCATATACATCGTTGGATTCAGAAAATAAATTTGGTAAAAAAAAAGTTGACTGTCGCTTTTCAAAAAAAAAAAATAGTAAATGAGCTCTAATAGGCTCGCTTTATAGTGTATTTAGAGCCATTTCATTTAATTTTTTGTTTTTTAAAATCAGACTATAAATAACGGAGTTATGGCCTGCGGCGTTTTTTAGGAGACAGCCTGTATAAACAGACTTAAAATGAAACATTTTCAGGTTAGGCGAAGATAGCTGTAGGGTGGAACCGTCCACTGATTCGTTCACTTACACGTTTGCTTACCTGCTCCTTTGGGACGTCCTGCTGACGTTATGCGACCAGGCTTCGACCGAATTAAGATACCAGTATGCCGATTGGTTGAGGAACGAGGATCTGTTAAAAAATTTCTTGAACAACCTCTTCCGATTGATGCCCACTGAAGTGCTGCACTTTAACGAGGGCAAGTCTAAGTCTCTTCTTGAGGTATTTTTAGAAAAACCTCCTATGGATGTTCGAGGTAGGATAGGAATTTTATTGTATTTGGTTTCGGTTAATGTTGTACGTTTCAGACACTTGTAATAGCCAGAAAATAGAACGTTTGGTTTGTTGGTTGTATGCTTCGACTTTAGCTCAGCTTCCCGCATTGGTGAGACAGTGGTGGACGAGCCTCGAGACAAAGATAGCGCAAGTAGTAGAAAAAGTCACGTCGGTGTATGTGTCGCCCCATCTTTGCACGCAAGAACTGAACGATGTGATGGCGCATCAAACGAAATTTAAGAACATGACGGTAAGTTGAAAAGAAAAAATACAAATTTAAGCATTTTATGTAATCAAATCTTTTTTATGTATGCAGTATGAGTAATTTAATGTGCTATCTAACATGGAACTTAATGTATTCCAAATTTTCTACCGGGAAGAACCTTTAAAAACCACCCCTTTGGATGAAAATAATATAAAAAAATTTTTTCAACTTGAAACATTTTAATCATGCATTTTTAGCAAATTAAAGTTGATATCTTGATTAAAAAGTCTTTTTTATCGATTGCAACTTTTCAACCTTTGAAAAATACCCCTTCTTTCGAAAATAAAATGAAAAAATATTATTGAAAGAGTAGAAACATTTTAAATGTGCATTCGTATTAAATAAACATTTATTCCCTTCTTATAAACTAATTTTGGATTGATTGCAACTTTTCAACCCTTATTAATTAATACTTTAAATAACTAGATAGATCTCACAGGGTCAAACGACACTTAGAGTGTACGATAATTTAATAAACAAAGAAATCTAAATAAAAAAATTAGATAAATTTGGAACAAATACACTGAAGATGAATTTTTTGAGACAAAACGTCTGAATCTGGTTAGGGCTGAGGCAGTACAGTATTGGGGGTCATGAAGGCTTGCAACAAATGCAATAAAATTTGCAGGGTTGTATTTAAGAAAATGAAGTTGATGATGGTCCTGGAGAGACGAAACGTTACATATAAAAATTGATTATGCCATTCGATAGAGGGCAAAAAGTTGCCACGAGAAAGTGTTCTTCTTTTTTCAATATCACCTCAAACAAAGCTGAAATGAAACAAAAACGGATTTCCAAAATTTCAGAGGCATAATGTTGATCCCCTGATTACGCAACTTTGCCCCCATTTAAGCTAGTTCGTATCTCTTACCGTTTTCGAGATCCCTGTAGTGAGAAGCGAATTTGTAACAGCCTGTATATGTGTGTGTGTAAATGTGTGCGCGTGTGTGTGTAGTATAGTGTGTATTATAATATAGTACTGGTTTATTTGAATATACACATACTAAATACGTATATACCTATATACAAAAAAGATCTAAATGCTTCAAAATTCTTGTTTGACCTAAATTTTCCTAAAATTATCACCTATANTTTTTTGCGCTTTCGACGTGAACGAACGCTTCATCATAATTATAATAATATTAAATTTTTTGTGTTTTCAAATATACTTCTATTCAAATTGAAGTTATATTAAATTACTACGAATATCATGGAGATGTCTAGTCTCCCTGACGAATATAATGACATTTACAAAACAAACTTCAAAATCAAATCAAGTGACTAAACATCAGGGTCGCCAATAATGGCACTGAAATATTGAAGAAAACTCTGCCCGCTGATTGGTCAGTTGCAAATATATCCTCGACATACGGCATAAATTAAATTCTCTAGAGAATTGGATTCCTTCAACGTTCAAAAATAAGTGTTTATGTTTTTAAGAGAAATTTGTCAGGTGAATTTTTTCTCTGGAGAATCAGTTCTCCTGTTTTCAAAAATCAAGCCCCTGATTTGTTTATTAATTTTTTCTTAAAAAAAATGAGACTATCATGTTATTTCGATCATATTTCTGTTAATTTTGATTCTAAACACTTTTAAAATAGCTCATTTTAAAGGTTTTTAAGAGTACACTTTAAAAAAGGTTCAAATAGTTTTTTTCCTAATATTTATGGTTTTGGCGTTGTTTAACGTTAACTGATTCCAATTTATTTTTTAACTAACATATAATAAAGTTTAAAAATCCATAACTCGGTTTATATTGCAATTAGAGAAAAACAAAATAATGCCATTAGATTTGTTTTTTTATTACCTTTCTTTTTGTTCATTACAACTTTTTCGTTAAATCCAATGGTTTCAGAGTTATTTGCAAAAAACTGTTTACTCGGAAAGTATTGGATTATCCAAAAAACTTTATATAACATTTGTTATTTAAAATTTACTCCTCTATCGATTCCTGTGGTTATTTTGGGCGTAAAAATTTCCACCCCCAAGAAGCAGTGAGAACCACCCCCAAGGCAAAAGCACACTTCGTCACTATATAACTTTTGTTCCTTGAGGCATTCCCCACATTCAGTCAAAATTTCACGTCAATCGGTTCAGTTATAAAGAATTCGGAGGTAAAAACCCTGAGTAACTGGACTATATTGTGGGAAACAATTACTCTGCTGACTACGTTTCCTCGCTCTGTGTGACATTAGTTTTACTAGGCTTGCCAACATTGAACTGATGTTGACCCGAAGAAATATCGTTTCGAATAATTTTCGCGTTACCCCGAAACCTGCTTGCTCGCCCTGTAAAGCAGCACTTTCCGAACTTGGCACCTAAATAACTATTTTAGTGAACCTGAATAATTTTGTCGGAACTAGAAGAATAATTGAAAAATCCAAATTCTTCGGGTTAAAATCAGGTCAATCTGGCAGTAGGTACAAAGCAATGCATTGTGTTAGTAGGCATTGAGTAGCAATGACATTTAAGATATGACTTTGTAGGTTATATCTCACCTATACACGTTTTAACGTTTTTTTTTACAGGTTAGAGTCATCCCCACTGTTCGAGAAGTAATCGCGATCTACACCGTCGACGAGGCCCAAATGGAACTGGTGATTACCTTGCCTGCGAATTATCCTCTGGGTGGCTTGGACGTCCAATGCAATCGTCAAATCGGGGGCACGACCCACAAACAGTGGCTGCTGCAATTGAAGAAATGCGTGCTACATCAGGTAATGTTATGTTCAGAGTAAATCGGGTCTTTGTAGTAGTCATTTTGTAGAACGGTCGTATATGGGACGGGTTATCTCTGTGGAATAACAATTTGGACAAGAAATTCGATGGCGTCGAGGAATGTTACATTTGCTTCTCCGTTCTGCATCCCGGAACGTATCAGTTGCCAAAATTGTCCTGCCAGACGTGTAAGAAAAAGTTCCATTCGGCATGTCTGGTAAGTGTACCGTTTTTATCCGTGGTGAAATTTTGAAATACGTTATATTTTTTTTCAGTACAAGTGGTTCAGTACTAGCAACAAGAGTTCGTGTCCAATATGTAGGAATTTGTTTTAAGTTATTTAAAACTTAATAAAATATTATATAGTTAGAAAATATTTAATTGAAATTGATATAAATATATTAATATGTACAAAATTATCGTTTTATTATGAAAATTAGATTTTTTGTTATACCTATTTTTGTTATATGCAAGGAAAATAATAAATTATTATAAACGTGCTTGTACGTTTTCTTTTGAAAGTTTAAAACAAAAATTTAGTTGCGTTTGCAAAAAAACTGATGAATGCCTCGGAAAATTTTTCGGCGATTGCAACGATAAATTACAATTTAGTTCCCAGAAAAATAGCGCGATACACCAACTTTTATAAATTCGATGAGTGGAAGATTATTTTTGGGACAGAAATTATTTTAATTTTTTACTTTTTAACACATTTTCTCATCACTGTCCTGTTTAAGAAATTTTTAAAATTGTCTGTGTGTCCTCTGGAAGCTCACTTGGTAAGGATATATTATGTCCATGATGTTTTCTATCTTAATGGCTACACAGGGTGTATATCATATTTTGACCATAAAATTCCCAAGTTCCAAGATAATTTTGAGAATCTTTTCAGGTTGCATACTTGTAAACAGTATATCAGTTCCTATTTCTAAGTGATGATTTTTTTCTTTTATATCTAAAGATAGCATACAGGGTGCCCATTTATAACTCAAAATAAAAAAAAAAGGGCGAATTCTTAGGAAAATAGTGGAGTTAATTCATATAACGTTTTTCTACCGTAACCTATAAACTCAGTGTTTCGATACATGCATATAACGATTATTTAATCCATTCATTGACTTCGTCCACATCGTCGTTTGTCAAAATCAATCGAAAATACGGCTGTTAATATTTTAAAAATAACTTCCACCTTCCCTTGTTGACAAATGAAACTTTCACTGTGAAACAAATTGCTTGTCTCGTATATTGGTAGATTTTTCATATATTGCGTTCATGCACGGCAGCTTGACTCATCCATCATCAATACAGGGTGTCCCCCCACGAACTCCATCGATGGATATCTGGGAAGCCGCTAGAAGGATTTTTTTGAAATTGTGATGGTGTTATAAGGACCGTGGGGCCCACCAAGTTAAAATATGTTAAAGGTTTTTACACCGGAAATCGATACTAACTTTCTTATTTTAAATGGAACCCCCTGTATATTATTGTATTTTTGGAAAGAGCACCTATTTTTAAGTTGAAAACGTATAGCACACTCCATACTTAGGATTGATCGTTTCCGAGATATTTTGATTTTTAAGCAAAAATTGACAGCTGCAGTCTGTCAGCAAAATTTAGTTTTCCCGGAAACATAGGTTTATTTTTTTGTGCAAATTGGACATTTTGTAGAGGAAGACCTAATTTATCGAATTTGATATGAAAATTTTCCAGTTTTTATACAGGGTGGTCAAAAAAAAAATTGAATATGAAGTTCAGAAAATGTGGAAAATTCGAAAATTTTAAATCGAAACCCCTAATTGTTTTAACATATTCGCATTATGTAAAAAAGTTAAGTGTATCTTTATTAAAGTTTCCCTATATCTAAACCTAGCGGTTTTCATTTTATTTACGAATAAACATTTCCCTTTTCTTAAAATGATGTTTCCATTTGTTTCGCACATTTTAGGTTGGCCGTGACAGGTAAGTAACAATCAACATGACATTTCGAATTTTCCACATTTTCTGAACTTCACATTCGATAATTTTTTTTTGATCACCCTGTATAAAAACTGGAAAATTTTCATGTCAAATTCGATAAATTAGGTCTTCCTCTACAAAATGTCCAATTTTCACAAAAAAATAAACCTATGTTTCCGGGAATATCTCGGAAATGGTCAATTCTAAGTATGGAGTGCGGATATGTTTTCAACTTAAAAATAGATGCTCCTTCCAAAAATGCAATAATATACAGGGGGTTCCATTTAAAATAAGAAAGTTAGTATTGACTTCCGGTATAAACGGAAGTACGATGACCTTGAAAATATTTTAGCTTGGTAGGCCCCACGGTCCGCATTACACCATTACAATTTCAAAAAAATCCTTCTAGCGGCTTCCCAGATATCCATCGATGGAGTTCCTGGTGGGACACCCTATACCGACACTGTTTAAAATTGGATTAAGTTTTGATGGGCAATCGAAGAAAATCCTACAAATTGGTTGTCTTGTGGCTTATTTTATTTCCGCTCAAGATGAAAACATTACCAAAAAAATTGTGAAAAGCTTCTAACGGGAATAACGTTCACACAAGGTCGTTGTAACTGTTATAATTCACAGGTATTATTAGGAGAAGGCATTTAAATAATACTCGTTGTGATTAAAAATAAGTGACTGATTTATTCAGTTAATGGTAAAAGTTACAAACATAGAATTAGCACAGAGAAAAGCAAAAGCAGTAAAAATTTAGGAATGGATTAAATCACATTAACGAAGAGATACAGTATTTTCATAAATTCTCGAACACATAAAAAGGCAGAATATTGCATAAATAGAAAGAGTTTTGGAAGGATTGTGGAGATGACATATTTCGATTTTTATAAATTTAAATAGCGTACACAAAATAAGTCTTCTTCAATCCAGATACAGGTATCGCTAAAAAAATATTGAATGTCTTAAATATCTAATTAAAAATAAAAAGTTAATTTAAAAAAAATCTCCATAAATCTATTATCTTCACAACTAAAAGGGTATACATAATGTTCTGATTTATAGATGTACAAGCCAGTATAATCAGTAAAAAACAATTTTTTTTTTTTGATTGATCCTAAAATGGTGTAATATTTAAAAACTATAACTTTTCCAAAATTAAAGTCTTACACAAATACAATTTTTTTTGGGGGTCAATTGTATTTGCAATTTTTATATCCGAAATCTAATAAGACCACCCATGTATAGGGGGCGTATAATCCAAGAAATGGATATGCACATACGCCTCTATGTGATAATAGGGACGAAGTGGTTGACAAATTGCCTAGCAGTGCAGTGCAGCAATGCAGAATTTGGTGTGATTCAGGTTATTTTAATTTATTATAGGCACCATGTACTAATCATTCATATTACAATTGCGAAAGGGAGAAATAAGAGGGAAATTTTGTTTAATATTATTACAATACGGCATTTTGGGGACCTTTTGAAACGGAACAAAACGAAATAATATTGAATTAGAAGAACCGGTTGTTGATGAAACAGAGTTAGAATTTAAAAATAAGGATTTACATGTTCAATGTCAGCGTTTCATTTTAAATATTTACGATTGTTTAAAAAAGGAAGAAAATGAAGAATCAGCTAATGCAATTATAAAGACAATTCACATATTAACTAAAGTTTCAGCGTCATAATTTTTTATGTTATTAATCACTGCATAAAGAGGAAGCGAAAACAAAAATTTAAAAATATCGTTGACATGGCGAGAGACGTAATTCGGCGGACAATTCATAATTTATATAAAGAAAACTGAGGACACAAATAATTAAAATATATTGTTGGCCAAATGAACATATAATAGAAATTTTCTGCACATTATAATATACAAATTATTTTTTACCTTTAGCAAAAAAAATTTTTAGGGACGCTCATTCAGTTTTATTGCTAGGCGTTTTTATACATATTGAACTGACTTCGGAAAGACTATAACAATGCCTTGAATGTTTTCAATTATTTCATTATTCTTTTTCATTCAATAAATTTTTTTCAGTCATTCGAAAAAAGGCACTTTTCCACAAATGATTTACACTATTTCTTGCAAAATTTTTAATAATTGAAAAAAGAAAGTCACAATAGGCCATTCCAAGAGGTTAAATAACAAAGCGTAATTAGATTTTGGATAAAAAAAATTGCTAAAATATGATTATACAAAAATTCGCCACTAAAAAAAATCGTCTTCATCTTCATTTGTTTTTTACTTAATATGATACTGGCTTGTATATCTACAGGGTGTCCCAGAATGTGCGCATAATCTCTGGGATTTATACAGAGGATGTTAAAATAACATGACAAGTTCCTATAAAAAATTTCCTTACAGAGCCCCCCTACGGAGATACAGGCCCCTAAAGGACGCCCCTGGAGATCGATTTTTTTTTAATAACTTTTAAAATACTTTGTGTAATTTAATTATTTTTAGGAAAAATCAAATGTAAATAAAAACGGCATTTTTTTAGATAGGTAAAAAAGAATGCAAATTTCATCGGTTTATTTCTCTTTGCGGATGTAATAAAAATCATATTTAGTTCAATTCATTTTATCGATATCAANTCGACTTTTATGTAACTTTTAAAATATTTTGTGTAATTTAATTTTTAGGAAAAAATTTTATTAAAAAAAAAAATTTTAGAGGCCTATATCCCTCTAGAGAAAATTTTTATAGGGACTTGCCATTGGGTTATTTTAACGTCCCCTGTATAAATCCGAGCGATTGCCCACATACTCTGGGACACTCTGTATAAATCGAAATCTCTGTAAGAGAAAATAACTCAAAAGTTTTGATAATTGTATCCACGTTTGTTCTCAACATTTCATCCCTGCAACCAAATATTAGTACAAGTCGACAAATTTCGTCCTAACATTTCCGTCCTTACGCCCTTTATTAAAACAAGGTTTTTTACTCGAGCCCAGGGATCTGTCAACCTATACTTCTTGAAAAAATAATGGAAACAACATATTATTGTCAATTTTGAGTATAAGATTATGTATTTATGTACAAATAAACAGAATCTGGCAATGTACACGTTATAGGAAGGTAGAGAGACTTAAATGGAAAATATAGTTAAGCTTAAGTATAGAAAAAATATTTATCGAAGTAAGGGATAACTCAGTTAAATGCTTAGAGGTTCACAGTTACGTCCGAGTTATTTAAAATATGCACTTTTTAATCCGAAATTACGAAGAAAATACACAAAAATACTGAAAAAAAAGGTTTTTTCAAAAAATAAAACACTTAATTCCGTATTTCCGTTATATTTACACGTTGCAAAGTGGTGATGTTATGTACGGGGTGATTCATAAGTAACGTTACAAATCTTTACTGCGGGTAGTAGGAGCCAAGTTAAGTTAATATTTCGCTAAACATGCCTGAAAATAGGCAAAAAGATTCA